CTTGGTGGGGGAGGGCATGGAGGAGAAAAGATCACCCACCCTTCAACAGTGTCCCACTGTTAAAAAACACTACATTACACAGATTCCCTGTTGAATGCAATTTGTTTCTGCTAAATTGTCTATTGCTCATTTTCTTCCAATCCTTGTTCGAGTTTGGACAACAGTCTTCCGGTGCCAAAGATGCTCTTTTGAACTCCAAAACCTATTTTATCCCCACCCTCCCAAGCTGGGGGCAATGCGCCAAATCAACGTGAAGTCAAATCCAGATCAATTGTTTGTCGGCCTACAGCAAAGGATGAGGAGGGCTGACATCGCTGGGTAGGCATCGCTGATTCTCACGGCCGAGAAGAAGGGACTGACAGAGGACACGGGCGAGAAAAAAGCAGGTTCACAGCCGCCAGGTGGAAAAGAGAGTTCTTCCTGTTTGACTTGTCACTCGCGGGTTTGATGTTCTTTGCCACCAGTGCCAAAGACGCTGTGTGGTTCGTGGTTTCCACGTCTCATATGAAGGTGAGATGCATGTCCTCTGGCACGTTGTACTTCAATTTATGCTCCTCAAACAGCTTGCAGAGCTCCTCCAGGTATCTGCTGTGGAGCAAATCGACTTCCTCTTGGCTGGGGTTGTGCTTCTTCTTAACCTGAATGGGTTTTCCCACTGGAGGGGTCAGAGGAAGACAAACAGAAGAAGACATTCAGGGAAAGCAGGATGACCAAGCAGGAGGACGTGGCTTAACCAGGAATCTGCGCACGCCCCTAGCAGTACCGATCGCCAGGCAGAGCTTTGGGTCTGCAGATTTGGTTGGGGCGGGATGCTCAATAAGGGGGAAGAAACTACAGCCTCACGCCCAGTAGATGGCAGGATTGAGCAACCTTGGTGGATCTCCAAAAGCTACGGGGCGGGACTTGGATGGGAGACCAAGCAGAAAATCCTAAGGCTGTAGTTTAGAGTAAGTAGAGGAACGTAGCTCTGGCCTCAAGAAGGAAGGAGGGGAGGCCAAGAGGTGACTCACTCTTGGAAAAGTAGAAAGTGTGAGAAAGAGAATGCCTTGATCTTTTGGCCCTTAAAAAGGGGGCAGTGAAGATTTGGGACAGGCTTTCAAGAGTCTGTTAATCTGTTCCACAAATCCCAGCGGTATCTATTCTTGACCTGGCCTCCCTCGAAGGGCTGAAAGAGGAGGAGGTCAAACATCCCCGATTTCTGTGTTGTTGCTGAGAAGATGGAAGTGATGGGCTATGGAGCTCTTGACTCAAGGGGAATTTTTCTTTTCTGGAAATCTATTTAGGCTAGATAGATGGACCTCCAGAGAAGGGGCCAGCACCTCACTGACCTGGGCTGACCTGGACACGCTAAACAGGGTCATATTGTTTCATATTGAAATGATATGTGGGAAAGACCTTTTGGAGACGGGACAAAGAGAACGGTCAGATAAGAGACAGCACAGCCCACAGCTGGATAATGAGTTGGGCAAGAGTCTCAGAAGAGACCCTCCCTAGTTTCTCAGGCTGTAAAGCGGGAGGGAGGAGAGAATTGTACTTTCAGACTTGCAAGATTCTGTTAAGGTAGCCTTACAATAAAGTAGAATTAGCTTATCTGGTCTACCTGGTAAGGCTGACACATCTTTGGATGAGAGACCACCAGAGAATCCCACGGCTGGAGGCTAGACTGGGAAGTTGAAAAACACCCCGCTTGCATATTATTGCTTAGGAAATGGCATGGATGCAGGTCACCAAGAGTTGCGCTCCATTTTTAAAAAGGCTTATTTTTATCAGTAGACTGAAGAGATGATAAAAATTACACATTTTCTAGCTTTGCACAAAACACTAGATCATAGCTGGGTAAACTGGCTGAGTTGTCTGGTTCACTAGCTCACAAAAAGTGTTCAAGCTTTTACACTTCCAGAAATACAGACGAAGGGCCATCGGTGTTTGATGTCCCTCCCCGCCGAAGAAAGTTCGCAGGAAGAAGGTCCATGCACATTAAAAAAAAAATGCAGGGCTTCAACCGTGATGCTGATTCTGCCAAGCTGGCACCAGACGTCCTTTCTGAAGCCACATAGAATTCATCGCCTGAGAAGCGATGGGAGCATCAAGAACGATGCAGGTGGAACATGCCCAGAAACCCCTCCCCTGCTTTACCTGCCTCTTCTTTCTGAGTGCCACATAACCAACATGGACCTACCCACGGTGTAGATGGGCCGCCGGTAGGGCATAAATCCGAAGGTGTACTGGAAGATCCCTCTGGCGTGGAAGAGAGGCAAGGAGATCCCCATGATCTTCTGCAAATGCTGTTGGGTCCACCTCAGCCAGGACCCTTTGGGGTTTTCGACTTGATCAAACAGCTCATTCTCTCCAAAGGAAAACACGGGGACCAGCGCCGTGCTAGGAGCAGGGAACAGCAGGAAGGAAAACATTGAATCAACAGGGCTGGGGCAGCTGAAGCAGGCTGGGTGGCTACAGATGATGGATCAGGGACTATCATCTGGACCCACGTAGAGTAGCTGATAAGGGGTCCAATTTGTACCCCTTCTTAAGCCCTGTCCCTTGATGCTTTTCAACTTGGAAGGAAGCCTGTGAATGACATTTGGGGGTCTGTCATGGCGGCCCCCACCCCTCTTCACACTTGGACTTCCAGGTGCAGGAGGTCATCTCCAGGGATTAAGCTGATGATGTCTTCATCAGCAGTCCAAGGCATTCCCCTTCTCCTTGGCGTTTTTATAGTTTTGTAGCCAGTAAGATCTTAAGTGCTCATCCAATACCTTGTTCACACAATACCCTTAACCAGGACTGGTGAAGACATGGCTGATTTTGGTAGAACATATATAGAATGATAGACTTTTAAGAGACCTGTACAACCTACTATGTTTGATTAGTGTTCAACCTTGGTTCATGTGTTGGGCAAAGCCATTTTCTGTGGTTAGTTTAGGGCTCAAATGAACCCAGAAATTGGGTTGATTCAGGAACTAGGTTAAGTGTGTTTGAACACAGCTTACACTTGTGTATATTTTGCAACTTTCCTATGCTATTTATTTTTTTATCGTTATTATTTCTGATGCCTTCAAGTCAGTGTTGACTCCTAGGGGCCACCTGGACACGTTCCTGAAGGTTTCTTGGCAAGACTTTTGGACTTGGTTGGCCCTGATCGTCTTCCTGAGCTGAGAGAGAGGGACTGGCCTGAGGTCACCTGGCTGGCTTTGTGCCCAAGGCAGGACTAGAACTCACCTTCTAGCCTGGTGCCTTTAACCACTGCACCAAACTGCTTCTCATGCTATTTATTAATTGCATTTGATTACGTGGGTTTTTTTCGCTTGGTTTATAAAATATTTTAGAAACTTTGTAATCTGCTCAGGGAACCTTAGTTATTGCGTAGATTAGAAGAAGTAATAGTAATAGTAATAATAATAATAATAGAGTAATCTAATCAGACCTGGTACAAAGATAAATCAAGATCTCTTGGTAGGAAGATGGGTAATTTGCAATAGACTGGCAATTATTTCTAAGCTCAGTTGGATCACAAAAGACACAGTGGAAGGGTTAGTCCCTTCAGTTATGCTGTTAACACCCCAGGGTACAGGTAGTCCTCGCTTAATGACCAATAGGGACCGGAAAATTTATTGTTAAGCAGGGTAGTTGTTAAGTGAGTTGCACTGATTTTACAACCTTTTTTGCCGTGGTCATTAAGCGAATCATGCAGTCATTAAATGAATCACGTGGTTCCTCATTGATTTTGCTTGCCAGAAGCCAGCTGGGAAGGTTGCAAATGTCAATCACATGATCCCAGGACACTGCAACCATCATAAGTGCGAGCTGGTTGCCAAGTGTCTGGATCGCGATCACGTGACTGCAGGGGTGCTCCAACTGTTATAAGTGTAAGGATCAGTTATAAGTCCCTTTGTTTGGCACCATTGTAACTTCAAACGGTCACTAAACGAATGGTTGTTAAGTGAGGACTAACTGTATATTAATCCAGAAATGTCATTTACCTATATGTCTCCTGTCATAAAGAGAGCAATTGGACCCATCCCATAAATCTCATTTTGGATCAACCCATATCCACTTGTTCTCCCATTTCTAATCAGGGGACCTTGTTAGTAAAAAAAAAGGAAGAAAGCTGTGATTTTGAGCTAGGGGCACGCATGGCTCTGTAGTCCCCAAGATTAAGACCAGCCGCGCTGGTTTCGTGGCAAGAGGCACCAAGCTAAGGCAGGTTTGGAAGACCTGACCAGCTGGCAGGCTGTTTTGGGCAGGAAATGCTTCCAACAGACTCTCAGAGAGGGCACCACGCTGAAGCAGTTGGACTGGGATAAATGTCGTGGCTAGCAGGCTCGTGCGAGGGCTGCAGCATGCTTTCGAATCTCGCTTCCCCTCTGTCTGTGCCAGGCAGGGAGAGCAAATTGGGACCAGAGACTAAACCCACCCTCCCTTTTGGCGATCAATGCAGCCTGCATTTTGGAAGCCAGCTACGAAAAGGAAGGAATGGGAGGTTAGGCGCAAACGATGAAGAGAGAGAAGCTGATCTCACCCACAGCAACTCAGCCCAGGTGGGGAGACACCTGGGAAGAAGCATTTCAGATGATTCAAAGAGGCTCCACCTTAATGAACCCACAATGAATGAGCCCAGAAAATTCCTCGTGCAGGGTCCAAAGTTCTGTGTTTACCCCAGATGGGCATTAAGGACACTTCCCTGCTTCCTTGATCTTGCCCATCTGCGGGGGGCTTGACCCCAGCCAGGGTGCCTGGACGGTGGAGCAATCCCACTCTAACCAGGAAATAAGGTGACTCTCGCCACATCCCAGCTGTACAGGAAGACCACGTCCCCCACCGGCGGTTCCAACTCACCCATGCTCTATGGCCAGCCGAACGAAGCCTTT